ACCTGATATTGTATGTATGACTGTTTTTGTTGGTACTAATTCTGAAAAATATTTCTTTGATTTCAGAATAGTATGTGTACTACCACTATTTTCTATACAAAGATCTCCAATCTTTTGTGCTCCAGTTGGACTCATATTAAACTTCACATATAAAAGGAATAATAAGTGAATAAACATAATCATAATTATTATTAAAAAGAAAGCTCATTTATTGTAGGAAAGACATTACATGAAAAACAAACGAAGGAAAAACAGTTTTACTAGAACAATAATAGATTTTTTTTTTATTTTTTTTTAGTTTATGTCTTCCATGTCATTGCAGAAATCAGCAACATTTAGTGGAGTGAATTCAACATTATCAATGAGGTTTGCTTCTTTTCCTTTTCCTTTAATGGACTCTTGATAAAGTTGACAAGATGTGCAGGTGTGCGACAGGTCCTTGACCAATGGCCTGTGCTACCACATCTATAACATGAACCATCAGATTTTTGTGATGTCCCAGTGTCATGCCTTGCCACTTTGGCCTTATCTTGTGTGTGGACATTGTTTCTTTGTGAATATTGGTAATTATTTCTTTTCTGGCCACGACCACGATTATTACCTTGTCCACGACCAGAATTATGGTTCTGATTATCGCTTTGGTTTCGATTAAAATAGCCACGGCCTCGCCCTCGACCACGACCTCGCCCTCGTCCACGTGTATTGTTTCAATGACAATCAATATTTGTAGCATTTGCTTCAAGAAGTGCTACTGATCCCGTTGGACGAGATTCATGGTTTTTCATTAAGAGTTCATTGTTTTGCTCTGCAACGAGCAGACATGCATTCAGTTCAGAATATCTTGTGAACTTTTGCATCCGATATTGTTGCATCAAAGTAATGTTTGTTGCATGAAATGTTGAGTAAGTTTTCTCCAACATATCTTCATCAGTAACCTCTTGTCCACAATACTTGAGTTGTGAACATATTCTGAACAAAGCTGAGTTGTATTCATTTACTTTCTTGAAGTCTTGAAACCTTAGTGTTCTCCATTCATCTCTAGCATTTGGAAGTATAACTTCCTTTTGATGATCAAATCTTTCTTTCAAAAGATTCCAGAGAATACTTGGATCAGTAACATCAAGATATTCAAATCTCAACATTTCATCAATATGCTTACGAAGGAAAACTTGTGCTTTTGGTTTGTCTTGTGCCAAACAATTATTAAATTCATATATAGTATTTGAGATACCCATGGATTCAAGATGCATTTTTACATCTATCATCCATGACACATAGTTTTTCCCACTAACTTTAAGTGCTGCAAACTCGAGCTTTGCAATGTTGGACATAATGTAACTATAAATTTTAAACAAAATAAAAATTAAAATTAAAATCCATTTATTTCAATAAATATTACACAAAAAAGAAGCGGTAAAGCTAACATTGCATACAAGCCTAAAAGTTGATGAAATTCCATATTATCTTCGATGTTAAGGATTAGGATGAAAAGTAACATGACTATTATAGTCATGATTATCACCCAAGGATGAATCATCTTGAAGCTTGATTTCTTGAAATTGATTTATTTGATAGAAGAGAGAAATATTTTTTGTGGGTAAAATAAGCAGGGTAAAGATGTTTATTTATGGTAAAAAAATATAGCCGTTGTTTTTGCTGTTTATAACCGTTGCATATATATTCCCGTTGTGTATATATGTATATGTATTTTATAAATCATATAATAAGACTTATAACTAATACATAACTTTACTAATTAGAAACATAAATAAATATTAGTAAATGTTTAAATAAATTATGAAGAGTATCTAAATATAAATAAACATTGACATGTATAAATAAATATAATTTAAATGTTAGTATGCACAAATAAAAGTTAGTAGCATAATATAAATGTTAGTATGCATAAATAAAAGTTAGTTGCATAATGTAAAATGTTAGTTTGCATAAATAAAAATTAGTTGCATAATGTAAATGTTAGTTTACATAAATAAAAAGTAGTTGCATAATGTAAATGTTAGTATAAAAATTAGAATACATAAAGAAATGTTAGTATATAAGAAATAAAAATTGTTAGTAGTCCATAATGTCCATAATGTATAAGTTTCATTAATTCATTAGTATTATTATTTTAATATGATTGAGGTTTATATAATTAATAGTGTTTTTACTAAGTAATACATTCCTTGATTAAGATAGATGCGATTTTCCACTTGTTTAGTAACCTTGATTAGAGCTTTCGTGCAGATAACGTGTTATGGATTAAGCGTAATTAATGTAACTATAAATCAAACCAAACTAGTAAACTTTGATAAGAACTTTAATTGAGAAGAAAAAATATTTAGAGAGAATATGAAAGTTATATCTCTTATAACTTTTGGTGTGTTTCATTCTTTACAATGGAGGAGTATTTATACTACAAATTTTACTAACATATAATTGTAACTAGTTAGAAATGTTGACAAATTTGCCATGCGCCAATTATTATGTCATCCACCAATTATTTACAACACCACCAATTATTTACAACAATATATATATATATATATATATATATATATATATATATATATAATATATATATATATATATAAAGTATGATCCTTTAGGAACAATATTTTTGTCTCATTAGTGGATTTTTTTTCATTTTTGCTGGAAAAACGATGTGTATTTTAGATTTTCTTTTTACCTACTTCTCTATTATTGGTTGCACCGTTTATGGTTTACACATGTTTTCCTGGGGTCATTCGATGTCAACGTGTTTGTTAGGCCGGACGGAGTGGACTGCGGGGAAACCGCGGGATCGGTTCCCGCACTTAAGCACACCGCACCGTGGGTGCGGGAAAGGAACGGCGGGAAGAGGCTGGGGGGAGAGAGTCCCGCTCTCTCTCTCTTCTAACCATTGGGTGACGCGTTTTTTTTTCTTTTTTTTTTCTTTTTTACTCCAAACGGCTATATAGCCGTTACATATGTAGATAATATATATATATATATATATATATATATATATATATATATATATATATATACATATATTTTCTTTTTCCTTCCCTTTCTTAACCTATAAATACTCAAACATTTTATCATTTTTTTTAACCCATAATCTATATTTCTCTCTAAAAAATATTACTCAAAATGTCATCATCTTCATCATCCGATTCGACGGCGGTAAAGGATGCTAAGTTTATCGGTTCCGTCATGGCAAAAACGGTTGCATACTATCAAAATCGACTAGGTGAAACATCACGTGCACGACCTAACCTAAGAAAGCCGCCGTTACGTAGAAATCACGAAGCCGGACACGATCGTTTTATAGAAGATTATTTTGTAGATGACGCCGTCTACGCTGTAAAGTTTCGACGTCGGTTCCGGATGAGGAAGAAACTATTCTTACGTATTGTTGGCGATTTGGAAGGCCGCTTTCCATATTTCCAATGGAAAATGGATGCAAGGGGAAAAAAAGGTTTCTCTCCCATTCAAAAATGCACGGCTTCAATTCGTCAGCTAGCATACGGCATGGGTGCAGACAAATGGGACGAGTATTTTAGGATGTCAGAGCGTAACGTGCGGGAGTCTGTGTACAAGTTCTGCAAAGCGATCTGTTTGGTTTATGGGCAACGATATTTGCGCAAACCAACTATCAACGATATCCACCAATTGTATACGGTGCATGAAGGCAAACATGGATTCCCTGGAATGCTAGGTAGTATCGATTGCATGCATTGGAGTTGGTCATTATGCCCCAACGCATGGCGTGGTCAGTACATGAGAGGCGACCACAAAGAGCCGGCGATCATTCTAGAGGCTATCGCATCACATGATCTTTGGATATGGCATGCATTCTTTGGTCCAGCTGGTGCAAACAATGACATCAACGTGCTAGACCAGTCGCTTGTATTCAACGATATCTACCTTGCAAAGTCACACGATGTACCTTTTCAAGCAAATGGGGTAGCATATAAGCGTGGATACTATCTTACTGACGGTATATATCCTCCCTTGTCTGTTTTTGTGTAATCGTTTACATGTCCTAACGACCCGAAAAGGAAAAAGTTTTAAGAGGCGCAAGAGTCAGCTAGGAAGGATGTGGAGCGAGCATTTGGTGTACTTAAGAGACGTTGACAAGTACTAACGGTCGGGGCAAAGTCATATGAGGTGAAAATGTTACAACACGTAATGTATGCATGTATCATATTGCATATTATGATTCTTGAAGACGAAGGAAGAGCGATATGCCGATACAACGAAAATGAAGTTTTGCCAAATGTCGAAGGAGTAGCCGTTGGTACACAAGAGTATAGGGTGAATAGAAGAGAAGTACATAATCGCGACATTCATCAGACCCTTCGTGCTGATTTGGTGGAACACATTTATAGGGCTCATATTCAGCCCCCGTACGAGTTATCTCACGATGATTTGTTTGACGAATCAGACGAGGATTCTGATATGTTCGTCGAGAGTGAAGATTCCGACGACGAGAGTGACGCTGGGGAGAATGATGCAGACGATCAAGGCGATGACGAAGACGATGATTCCAAGTGACGTATCTAGGTTTAAATAAAATTATGATATTAATTAATAATTTTTACTTTGTTATAGGTTGTTTGATTTTTTTTTTTTGCGGTTTTTTTTCTACTTATTTAAATATTAGGGTTAATGTAATTTTTATTTTACTTAATGAAATGCTTTTTATTTTTAATTAAATTTTATGTTTGATATTAATTTAAAAATTATAAATCAAAAAGAAAAATTATTTTATTTAGTATAAAAAAAAAAAATTGAGGAAGGGTTCCACCCATTCTTTGGCTTTTGGCTTTTAGGTGAGGGAAAAGAGAGAGTGAGGGAAGAGCTTCCTCCCTCTCCTTCCGGTCTTAGAGGATCATCTTCTCCTACCTCTCGATTTTTCTTCTCAGTTAGACCTGAAAAGGCTCTCACTCCCACCACCCTTGATTCGGACACAGACAATCAGAGTTCACCATCGCTACTATCGAACTACGTGGATGGAACCCATCTACGTTTATATTTTGAGGTACACCAATTTTCAAATTTCGATTTAGGTTTCTTCCGACCGGAGAAGGTAAAACTCTGGGCGGGATGCCAGGTTTCGCCTACGCTACACGGTTTTTCCGGTCATCTATCCTCACACACGTAGGTTCCATGTTCTTCCCAATTAAATTCCCGCTCTACGCTTAGGCTAACTTCAATAATCGTCTTTAGAAGATGATTGCTGGAAATTCCGATTTTTGGTCATATTATGCTATAACCGGAGTGTTAATAAGGGTTTAGGGAAAGAGAGGGTGAAGGTGAATCACAACGATTTCAAGCTTGCCTTCACCACCGTCTATGACACGCGTAGAGCTCCATCTGCTTCAATCGGAAACACCATTAACGACACCCTAGGAACGACCGATGAGAGGTGGGTGAGAGGTAAGGTTACTTTCTCTACTTTATCATGGTCTTTTGTTTCTCTACTATTTTTGTGGGTGATTAGGGCTTCATGAAGCACGATAAGGTTCAGTTGAAGGATGATTACAAATATTTGTTCTTTCACCTTTAAAATCCACAATTTTTTTCATCTGTATGTAAGGCCGATTACTTAAATTTGGTCGCTTTTTATAATTTGTTTTTTAAAAATGGGCAATTATTTTTTTTGAAAATTGATTAAAATATGATTATTTGCAGGGTTTAATGTTGAGAGTAATGTTTATTCATTTACTTGATTTTGTTTTTCTTCCATTTGCAGTAGGTAATTGCTGCTTAAAGCAACAACAGAATTGTGTCGCTCCTTGCCCTGACATTCTAAATTTTGGCATCTTTACATTCATCATTGAAAGTTAAAACAGGTAAAAGTCTCGGTCCTCCAGAATTTGTAGTTTATGCTTAGTTTTATTCATTTTTGGATGAGGGATTCTTTGTGGAGAGCAAGGTTTGGGAGAATGAATATGATGTACTTAATGTTAAACAAACTTTTCAAGAGATGGTAGTTGAAATCGGGTGGGACCCCAACAGTTTTCCTGCATGTGATTCTCTCTTAAACACATTAGTCGAGGGTTCTCATGGGATAAAAGAGACTATGAAGTTCTTTGATGTATAAATCCTTTTTCTTTGGAATATAGCTTCTGTACTTTCTGTGTACTATAGTTGTAGGGAAGATTTAGAATCTTCCACTTTTATATATATATATTATTGATGATGCAGTTACTACAGTTGGGTTTAGGAAATTTCGAAAACTTTCTTTTGTGCAAGCAAATGCAACTCTTCACAACGACTCAAAACAAGGTATTACCACTTTGCCCTCCAGTAAATGACTCTTTTACCCCCTGTAGGCACTATTTGCTTCAGAGGATATGGAAGGCATAATGGTGAACTCAGGAGGAAATTTATCCTTGGGTCAGTGGGTGTATTGTGAGCCAAGATCTTTCTGTTTTGAATTTAGTGATTGTGAAAAAGGGTGACAATGACCTGCCCGGACTGACCGATGTTGAGAAGTTGGTTAGTCTCTGATTTTTTTCTTGCATATGTTTTAGCAGAAGGATGACTGGATTGATTCATTGATTGATGGATATAATGGGAATTTAATGCAAACAGGTAACTAAGTGAGCAAGGTTCCTTAGATACAGAGGTTGGTGACATCATAGACATTCCAAAGAAAGAGGGCAAGAATTGCTGACAAGAAGAAGAGGATTGGAAAGGCAAAATCAGAGGCTGCAGATTACCATCTATTGCTGCATAAACACCTTGGTATGCATGGATTCTATTTAGAGTGTTAGATCTTGATGTAACTGAGTTTTTTGCTCAAGTTTTTAATTAAGATTAGGTAATGTACAATTTTTTCAATTATATGTCGAACAATGGAGAACATATGGAGGATGTGTAACTATCTAATTATAAACAAAAATTATTCTCAGGGGAAATAAATTGTTGTTATTTTCCTTGAACAACGTTGTTGGATTTTTCGTGTACATGACCCACCAAATATCAACAAAAAAAACGTTTGGCCCGTGCAACGCATGACCTCTAATATATTTAGACCATTTTTTAAATGAAAAGTTGAAGTGGGCCATAAGTTGCAAACGTTATTATTTGAGGTCCTTCTATACAAAGTGTTGTCTTTATGCCATTGATTTCGCCACTTGGCGATCAAACTAGGTTATAATAAATATTCTTGAAAGAAAAAAAAAAGTGGTTTCGCAACTATTATATCAAACTAATGTCCCGTTTGATAGTTACTGAATGAGAAAGTGCTGATTCAAAAATATATGTCTGAGTAAGAAATTCTGACTGAGTAAGAAATCATGTTGTTTGATTGTACATCTGACTAAACGTGCTGACTGATACAAAATGACCATTTTACCCTGCGCTATTCATTTTTATGCAATATAATAATAATAATAATAATAATAATAATAATAATAATAAATCCACACCAAGTAATATAACCAAACATCACAAGTTTACATCTCACAAAGCAATACCATCATCTTGAGTCAATAAAACATACTAAAAATACCAATAAATTCTGCCAAATTGATTTCTTGATTGAATATTGTGTCACTCATCTCAAAATCAAATCTCATATCTGTTTATAAGTTAAAACCACCATACATGGCCTAAAATGAGCTTATTATATCATTGAACCTGAGGTGGATGTACATTAGAATAACCCATCCACATATATCATACTCCACATATATCATACTTCAAATCACTGCTCTTTTGTGATTTCAAACCCTGCAATCAATGAAATACAATATGTTCATCAGTAAGTAGAATGACATTTTTACCCTCAAATTATTGATTTGCAGACAGTAGATAATACCCTGGTATTGGCATCAACAAAGGCATATCTGTTAATCACTTGAACAGATATATGTATGTGTTCGGGTATGAATAACATCAGCAAAGACACATTCAATATCATACCGTGAAGTGAACAACAAATCACTTGGAACAAATCATTTAAAAATTCAAAACTTTTATCTATTCTCAACAGCAAAATAACTTTGAACAACAAAATAGATGCAAAAATCGAAACAACAACAATCGAAATAGCAAAAATCGAAACTTTTAGAGAAATAATGGCGGAAATCGGAACTATTGATGCAGAAATCGATGCATGCTAGTCGATGATGGCAAAAATCGGAAGTATTTATGAGACGAGGAAAGATAAATCGATGCTTACCTGATCAGAATCGGAACTATTGATGCAGAAATCGATGCTTGCTCGCTGGAGCTCGAACGGAGGGATGAACTTTCTGGCCTATAGTCGGACTGAGGAAGGGACGTCGGCAATGGAGATGCGATGGAGAGCTGTCGATGTTGGCGGCCAATTTTCCTTGTTGGTATCTCTTTTGGGTCACGATGGGAAGAAATCAAATAGAGGGTATGAGTGTAATTTTTCCAGGCAACTATATTACAAAGTCTGACCGAGAAAGTGATATGGGCCAGACGTTCTGATTGAGAAAGCTTCTATCAAACACATCTTGTCTGACCGAGTCAGCCCAAATCGCTGACTCGGTCCCAGTCAGACGATAACAAACAGGGCCTAAGTTATAATAACTGGAAACCATGGTTTATATATATATATATATATATATATATATATATATATATATATATATATATATAGTATCAAAAATATAGCGTAACTTTGATCGTAAGAAAACATGAGATAATACAAAATGTAAAATAAACATAATAGTTTAACATAAAGTCTGAAACACTTCTTTGTATGTTATATTGGAAGTTTTATCGGTTAAATTCACATCCTTATCTAAAATCAACAACTTTAATAATTTTTTGCTCTTTACTACTAACATATAATTGGCCGTATGTATATATAATAAATAGTTACATATATTAAAATATATGTAAAGTTTAAGGAAAAATTTAATATAAAAGAAATGAATAAACTTTTCTCGATAAAATTAAAATATGTGATTGTTATTTATAAGTAAATTAAAATATGTGATTGTTATTTATAAGTAAATTAAATTGAGTACTATAGATTGTTAAATTGTAACGTCCACAACTTCGGGCTATGCAATTAAGATATAATAAACGACAATTATTATAATTTGAACCGTCGAAAAGGGAGATCACCAGTGTTACACGTCGTAGACTACACGTTATAATTCTTTTAGGAAATTTATCGATAAGTGATAAAACGACATTTTTACGGAATGTTATTTAGGATAAATAATCACAACCAAATTTGCAGTAGGTGTAACAAGGACTCCGTACGAAATTTGACTTCGTATAAAGAAGTTATGTCTCTTCGAATTTCTGCGTTTAAACCGGCATGGCTATGCGCGTTGTAAAAAATGAATTTTTGATAGGTTGTTTATTTGCCTAAGTAATCTAAAAGAGAGCCATAGTAATCGTAAAACCGAGAGCGTACATATGGAGACGTCCAAATCTGACTTCATATGAAGAAGTTATGATTTTTGAAGTTTCAGCGCAACAATGTGGGCACATAATCGAAATTCAAATTGGTTGATCGTTAGCCGAAACAATCTAAACGATAGTTGAAGATCTCGAGATTAGAAGTATGTCAATATAAAGACAGTCGAGAATGGAGTTCGTATGAAGGAGTTATGAATTTCGCCGGACTTTAACAGTCTAAACCGGTCTAAATATGAATTTTCGTTAGAGTGAGAATTAGTTGTTGAGACCTTAATGAAAGTTGTAGATCTCTTCGAGAGGATTTCGAGGATATAAAGAACGTTGAAAACGGAGCTTGTATGCTCAAGTTATGGTCGTTTGAAGATCTGCAAAAATTTACCTAGACCGATGGCGTGGCAGCACCTGGTGGCGCCACATGGCATGGTCGGGTAGCCGCCCTCTCCAAGAGACAAGATGATGTGGCACAACGAGTTTTGGACATGTGTCTCCATGAGAATGTTACACGTGTCACCTTCTTGAAACGTGGGATGTGGGCGAATACGGGCGCGACACATGGCAGAAGGCAGGAGGTCCAGGGAATCGATGAGGCGCGACGCGCCTCTTGTTTGAGTGTGGCGTACCCCCCCTAGAACCCTATAAAATGATGTTGAGTTTCTTCTCATTTCCTCATAAAACCACTCCAAATCTCTCTGAAATCTCTCTGACCTTTGAGTTTGATTCTTTCCCAACCTTTAGACATTTTAGTAGAAACTCTGGAGCTCTAAGAGCTCGACGAAAAGAGGTGTTTGGTTCGGAGTTCTCTCCACGCAATTTTCGGTTTTCGCTAAAACCTTTGTAAGTTAAGTTGCAGTTAACTTAATTCAAGTGTAACATATATATATATATATATATATATATATATATATATATATATATATGTGTGTGTGTGTGTGTGTGTGTGTGTGTGTGTGACCCCTTCTCTAAAACCTTACCATATTACTCCAAACATACTACATGCATATTCATAAACATAATTTACATATATGGTCTATTTACAAAAGACTGAATACAAACCGACTATTAAGATTTTTACAAAGTTTTATATATATTACATAACTACCCAGAAATTTATAATTCATATACATACATGAGCACTAAGTACGAAAGTAATAGTATTAACTATTCTAAATCTTCCAACAGTACTTGTCTATACTGGATGCTTATCACCTGCAATAGTTAAACACTGAGAGAGATAAGCGGGTGACGCTTAGTGAGTTTAATAACAATTACAGTATAACGCTATGCCATATATATCAATATGACAGAAGCAAAGAGGGACAAAGAACAATAAAGACATACGTGTATCATATGACAGGCTTTCCATATCAACCAATGATTTGATTCAAAGATTTACAATCAATGTGATACAACAATTTCAATATGATATACATCATAAAACTTCAGCTCAAGTGGAACCGAAAATACAATTTCGGATTATCAATTTGCTAGAATATATAGGCTTTCAGCCCTACCTAGCCCTATGCCAATACCAAAAGTGATACGAGTCATGCTCTACATGGCCAAAGGCACAAAGCCAATACCAGAAGTGATACGAGACATGCTCTGCATGGCCAAAGGCATAAATCCAATACCAGAATAATACGAGACATGCTCTACATGGCCAAAGGCTCAAAGCCAATACCAGAAGTGATACGAGACATGCTCTACATGATCAACGGTATAAAACCAATACCAGAATAACACAGGAAAGCATATTGCACATATAACACATAACATACAATTGTCCTTATATTGAACTCACCGTGAAATAACCGAATGATAAAATGGTAATTTGGGCAGCACTTCGTTTCTAAAAATGACTTTATTTGACGAAACCGGAAGTTTTTGTTGAAAATCGCGCTTTGTGCGTGCAAAGTTTCAACTGAAAAGATTATTTTCTCGGGTCTTCGGGTGCTTCGGGGCTTGCTTCGGGTGTTAGGGTGATTCTCTTGGCTTCGGGGGGGGGGGGGGGGGGGGGGGGGGGGGTGTTAGGATAGTTTGAGAGATGTTTTAGGGTGTAAAAGTGTAAATTTTTGTAAACAAAATCGGGCAGCCTCGCACTCTATTTATAGTGGCCGAAGCCCCAAGTTACGTTGGGCGTAATTTTAGAGTATGCGGGGCGTACTGCCTTATGAAGTTCTACGCTAAGCGTACTCTTGTACGCTGGGCATAGGAGCTTACTGTCCCTGACGTGTCAATCGTGCGAGATAGGTGTCCTCCATCCGAAGAAAGAGGCGACGTGGCTGATTTCGGACCTTGTTCGAGTACGCGGGGCGTAACTCGAGTACGTTGGACGTACTGCCTCCTCGAAGTTTGTGTCTGAAGCTTCAAAAATTCATATCTTTCGCATACGGGCTCCGTTTTTTACGTTCCTTATATCCACGCGTAGGTAAAATTACACTCTACAACTTTTGTTTAGACTCCCTCGGCTAATTTTGACTTTATTTTTAATATTATATTTTTAACAGG